ACCTACAATGTGAATTTCAGACCCCTCCATGATTTCTAAGTGGGAGAACTTGCAAAATTGCAGGGTGTTCAAATACTTCTGTTCCTCACTGTAACTTTAGTTACTAGTTATTTTTCATAACAAGATTAATACAAAAATACTGCATAATTATAAGGCCTCAGTGATCTATGGTGGAAAATTCACAAGATACCCAGCAGTAATTCAAGTTAAATAAGTTGGTTAAAATTAGCTCCTCCTTTACCAGCTGCAACATTAAATGTGATGTCACAATAATGCATGTAATATGATAAACAGGAATGTTAAATTCTGCTAATAAGTACTTTTAGTGCTTTAAGTATGTTTTGATGCCAATACTTTGGTACTTTTACTTGAGTAACATTTTGAATGCAGGACCTTTACGTGTAGAGTATTTTTACACTGTTGTATTGCTACTTTTACTGCAGTAAAGGATCCGTGTACTTCTTTCACCACTGGTGAACAAGATGAAAAACAGGCCTGCTGCATGCTGGAGGTCACGGCACAAGGTTGCTATGAAAGTCTCTGTAAAGACAGGCTAGCCTTTGGTTACTCCGGAAAGCACATTGGAAGTATTATAGTTCCGCTTGTTGAGAGCTCCAAATGCCATCCATTTCTTTACACACACTGATGAATGTGTTTCATGACAGAGTCAGAGAAGGCTAATTTGAGCTGGCAAACAGGTGGTAACCTGCCTACACACCCTGAATGTTTGTTACTGTCATGTGTGCATGTCCACGTAACTCTATTTGTGCACTGTATGAATGCACAAGTGTGACGGCTGGCCTTCCTGTGTGTATATGTACAACATGAAGAGTACTCTTGAAAGGAGTAAAACAGTGTCCTTGCTGCACTTCAGTCAAGAGCAGTGTGTCCCCTGTTGACCAATTCTACATTTCAGTTTCAGATTGAAGCAGCCTCTTAAATCAGATCAGGCTAAATTACAATAAATAGCTAAATAAAACTTAAAACATATATAGTCTTTCTTCTCACCTTGGGCTGTAGTTAGTGTCTGTGACCTACCAGCAGGCAGCATTCCCAGGTAGTTAAGCACAATGTACTTGGTTTCATAATGGAAACCCTCGGGCACAGAGGCAGTGGTTGGGGCAGAAAATGTAGAGCCCAACGTAGCCATTGAACACAGGTGTTTCAGACTCTGAGGCACATTAACTCTTGCAGTCAAAGCCAGAAGTCTCACCTGAGGAAAATGACAGAGGAAGAATAATAATCAGTTGTTACTGTGGCCATCACTGCAGTCTGCAGCACTGTAATGTCTGCTAAGGCACCCAATAACAAAATAAGGTAATCCATATCAGCCTTGGGCTGTAAATCATGGTGATGTGTGTTCAACTGCAAAACAGCCGTTATGTATGACACAAAACAGTTGTGTCCCAATGTCCTCTGCCTATTGAGTCAGGAAGACATGTTCTTGCCCATTTTGCAAGAGTGATGAGACTAAAATCTGATCATTCATTTTGTGGCTTTGGGGTTGTGTGACTGTTAATGTCACAGATATTAATTGGATGTCTACATTTTGCACCTACATCATGAAACAGTTCAACTTAACACACGTGGCGTGACAAGTTCTCCACCTTAACACACGTGGCGTGACAAGTTCTCCACCAAGTGGCTTTAGTGAACACACGTGAAAATGTATATAGATCCGTACAGCCTACTTAACGGTTTAGTTTCCTGCTGGTTCTCTGGATGTTAAAGCACCCTTTACTAAAACACAGCCTTGCAAATGTTAACTCCGAGTTTACCAGCTCACATTGTCCTCCAGGAATGAGTTGATACCTTGCGGACCACAAATTAGTTAGTCTCAAGTTTGCCAAACTTCCGACGGTGCTCACAAATATTAAGACTATTTTTATTTATATTCTACATAATATATTCATTTTGTCCAAAATGACGATTACTATCTACTGCGAATTACTAACGTTTACTAATGTTATACAAAATCATACAAATTTAATAACCACACATATACTGTAGCTCGCTAGTTAATCACCTGTCAAATTACATTAATGAATGCTCCATTAAAAATTCCGTTTTTGGTCAGACCAGTTTTTGCTGTAACGTTAACATCTCAGTACACCATTGCAAGCTACTGCTAGCTCAGCATGACACGTTTTAACTAATATTTCGGGGACGCAAAACTTCAGATCAGTAACTTAAGTTAAGTTCATTGGGAGTCCACTTCTTACCAAGCTTGTCCAATAGCAACCAGGTGATGACAGACGACAGGCTAAAGTGAAATGTGCGACACAGTCCCCTGCAACAGTAGCTAGAGAAGCAAGAATACCGCTGGCATTTAGCAGCACTCCGTAGACAGTGCGGGCCACAAGCTAGTGAGAATATAGCCCGTACCTTCCTGCCATAACTTCCAAAATAACACTAATTGATTAACGGACAGTGTTGCAACCTTATTAAGTGATAAAGTAACGCTACTTCTGAACTGATATTTTTTATGAAAACTAATTAAGCTGAGCAAGATAAAAGATACCATCAAATATATGTCACTAAAAATAACTTATGGGCTGTCAAAATACGCAAAACGGACTGAAACAGTGCGACCAACCTATATTCTGCGTTAATATAACTTTTATTGAATAACTGTGTCTATTATATGCAAATTGTCCTTGCAGTTAAATATCTGAAATTGTTTAAAAGAACAAAATATCGTGACTTTTTTGCCCATAAAGTTTTTTTTTAGATCTTTATCTTTTATTTTGAAAGCTACAATCGGAAGTTTGGTTCCGCTCAATATTCTTGTGAAGTTCACTGGGCAAGGAAAAGTCTCTTCCTCTCAGTGTTTTTGTTTTCTCGACTCTAGTGGTCGGAAAACGTTTTCTTATTTGACATACTTATAAAAACGAGCCATATTAAGGAGCAGATATGGCGCTCACCGATGCGGATGTACAGAAACAGGTAAAGCAGACAGTGCAAAGGTAGTTCTTGTTGAGTTTGCACGTTTTACCTCTGTAACTGCAACCTGAGGTATGAGGTAAACACAAGCTAAACCCAAACTACCGTTATGACAGCTGTTAAGCAGACATTATGCAACTGCGTTAACTTTCGAGGTTGTTAATAAATCACTAACGTTACAGCTTATTTTGTTTGGGTTTCAGTCATTTGATACAAGTGTGTCACTTGTTACACGTGAAAGCTGACAAAGTATGAGCAATGGCTACATTTAAACTGACAGAAATACATGCATAATGTAGCAGCAGGCTAAATAAAATAATTTGTGCATATTGCTTTATGAGTGTTACGAATTGTGAATTAGTTTAAAAGTTTTGTAAGTCTGAACTCTGCGTAACAATAGAACTGTCTTGTGTGTTTTTGTTGTGTCAGATCAAGCACATGATGGCCTTCATTGAGCAAGAGGCAAATGAGAAAGTAGAGGAAATTGATGCTAAGGTAACTGAAGTCTGTCTATGAGCTAAGACACCTGGCAGTAATATGGGTCTGCGGTTGTGCATAAACTAATAAGTTGTACAAAAAATTGTTCTTGTAAACTTATGCATAAGTTAAATTATATGTCAAATAGGTAGTGTGTATTTTGTCTGTGAAAATACACTTTAAAAAGTTATAACTTCAAGAAATCACAAATACGAAGTGAAAACTTAGGTTTGTGATTCATATCTGTCGAAGCACATCCACCAGGCTTCAAGATTCAAGAATAAAGTCCAACTTTGAACGCATGCGCATTTTGTGGACTCAAGAGCTTCTGTTCAATGCATTATGACTGAGACCACGTGACGTATTTTTTGACAGGTCACTTGTAAAATCGTATTCATATTGAGTAAAGCACAAACTTAAGTTTTCATTTCGTATTTGTAATTTTTTAAGTTGTAACTTTTTAAAGCATATTCACACAGAAAACATACAATACATATTTTATATTATGATTTGTCTTATACAAGAGTTTACAAAAACATATTTTTGTGTACAGCTTGATAATTTATGCACAACCACAGACTAATACGCATCCATGTTATTGCCAGCTGTCTTACCTCATATCTGTCTGTCAGTACTGTAATTTTTGTTCCCCTGCAATGACCAGTAATGATCCATCTGTTTACAGGCAGAGGAAGAGTTCAACATTGAGAAAGGTCGTCTGGTGCAGACTCACAGGGTGAAAATCATGCAGTACTATGAGAAGAAGGAAAAGCAGATTGATCAGCATAAGAAAATGTGAGTTGTTGGTCTTTTATTAATAATAATGCTAAAAACTCTATCTACAGAGAGAGATTATTTGACTTTGGCAGCATTGTGTGGTCCACAAACACAAGAGAGCAAAGCTGTGTCAACAAACCATTGACCAACCAAATCAGTTCTTACCAGAGAATTTTGCATAGTTTAAAATTTGTATCTACATCATCTTATTCCATCCTCAACTCTTATCCTTGTGTGTAACATACCTGGCCAATAAAGGTGATTATCCTTATCCTTACATGTGTTCTAATGACTTTTTCTTCCGCTCCCCGCAGCCAGATGTCAAACCTGTTGAACCAAGCGAGGCTGAAGGTGCTGAAGGCACGCGACGACATGATCTCGGTTAGAGATCATACTCGAGTTACACATACTTACTGTACATATCCAGCTGATGTTATACAGCTGACACAGAAATTTCTCATACAGTATATTGGTACATTGTACTGTACAATGTATCTCATTTGCAACTTGCATTCATGAGTTAGGTTTTTGTGCATATATGTACGTGTCATTAGTGTACGTGTGTGCTTATGTTTAGTCTTATTTATCCCTGAATCAAAGGTCTACATGTCACTTGGGTCTACTACCCAAGTACAGTGGGAATGAATTGATTTTCTTTTATGTTCCTTGTATCATAGAAAAATAATTTTCATGTCACCAAAGGTGCACAGAACTGCCTGTTTGCAGTATTTTATGTCTGATTCCACACTATCTGAAGAAGAGTGTATATGAGCAAGCTCATGACTTTAAACTAAATTAATGTGTGACATTATAAACTTTTCCCCTGATTTCCGCCTGTGCTCTCTTTCCAGGATCTGTTGAATGAGGCCCGTCAAAGACTTGCAGAGATTGCCAAAGACCCTGAGAGCTACTCCAGCCTGTTGGTGGGCCTGGTGCTTCAGGTAAATTCTCCAGCTGCTGTCAGGGGTAGATCCAAGTAAACCAACAGTTGATTGGTTGGTTGCTTCTTTGTGTTTTCCACATTTGTGCTTCTACACCTTTCAGGGATTCTATCGACTGCTGGAACCTAAAGTTACAGTTCGCTGTCGAAAGCAGGATGTAGAAATGGTTCAGGTGAGCTTGAGCTGACTACAGTGATGTGATTGTACTAATAGCAGGTTATTTAGGAAAACGCAGGTCATTGCAGGAATCTTTGCATCTTTTACTACACTTATGATTTATGATAGATGCTGTGTTTTCTGTTTTAATACATGACAGGCTGCAGTTACTAAGAACATCCCTATCTACAAAGAGGCTGTGAAGAGCAACATAGAAGTCAGAATTGACCTGGAACGTTTTCTACCATCAGACATGTAAAATAATTTAATGTACTTTAATACCAACTCTTACACTTTGATTAGTTTTTTTTAAATATGTTGTCAGTGTACCTATTTTTACTGTTTTCATTATGACCATGCTTGAAAGGTGTGACGTGAAGACGTATTTAAATTTGGTTTTCTCATATTTGCAATACATGTCTACTCTTTGTTTTAACAGCTGCGGAGGAGTGGAAATGTATAATGATAATGGGAAGATCAAGGTTTCCAACACTTTGGAGAGCAGACTAGAACTTATGGCACATCAGGTAGAGTAACCTTAACAATATACTGTATATTAAATCTATTTACATTTAAAAACACTTTCTGGTACTTACCTGTGGAGGGCACCAGAGCCTACTAAGTTTTGGCATCTGAAGGTGGGAGATCTAAAAATGAAAAACATTTTAGATAATTCAGGCAAGATTATCATGCTAAACATGAGTGTACCAAACCTTAGGTGGGTGTTGCTTAACTAAATGTTCTTAAAAAAAGTTAGAGGTTAGAGGAATTAGTTTGTTTTTACATACATCCCTAATGGGGTCTGCTTCCTACACACAGCTACAGATGTAAAACAAGCTTGGTCACTACATAGGATGCTGTAAAAATTAATTCTAATATTGTTTCTTAAATATTGTGTGCACAAAGCAAAGACAAACACATTTTTTTCAAATGTAGGCACATCATTAACTTTGATAAAACATTTTACTTTTGCAAGCAAATGGCTTTCTCTTGTCTTTAAGTTTTAGCACTTCATTTGTGAAAGTTTGGGCACCCTACACAATCAGTACTTAGTAACACCTCCTCTGGCAGATATCACAGCTTGCAAACGCTTTTCATAGCCAGCTAAAAGTCTTTCAATTCTTGTACTTGGGATCTTCTCCCATTCTTCCTTGCAAAAGGCTTCTAGTTCTGTAATATTCTTTGGTCGTCTTGCATGCACAGCTCTTTTAAGATCTACCCACAAATTTTCAATGATGTTTAAATCAGGGGACTGTGATGGCCATTCCAAAACCTTCAGCCTGCGTCTCTTGAGGTATTCCATAGTGGATTTCGAGGTATGTTTAGGATCATTGTCCTGTTGTAGAAGCCATCCTCTTTTCAGCTTCAGCTTTTTTACAGATGGTGTGATGTTTGCTTCCAGAATTTGCTGGTATTTAGTGGAATCCATTCTTCCCTCCACCCGTGCAATGTTTCCTGTGCCACTGGCTGCAACACAACCCCAGAGCATGATAGATCCACCCCCATGCTTAATAGTTGGCAAGGTGTTCTTTTCATGAAATGCTGCTCCTTTTTTTCTCCAAACATGCCTTTGCTGATTGTGTCCAAAGAGTTCTATTTTAACTTCATCAGTCCACAGCACTTGTTTCCAAAACGCATCGGGCTTCTGTAGATGTCCTGTTGCATACTTCAGACGTTGGATTTTATGATGGGGACGCAGATAAGGTTTTCTTCTGCTGACTCTTCCATGAAGGCCTTGTCTGTGCAAGCATCGCTGCACAGTGGAACGGTGCACCACCACTCCTGAGTCTGCTAAATCTTCCTGCAGGTTTTTTGCAGTCAAATGGGGGTTTTGATTTGTCTTTCTGACCAGCATACGAGCAGTTCTGTCCGAGAGTTTTCTTGGTCTTCCAGATCTCATCTTGACCTCCACAGTTCCCCTGATCTGCCATCTCTTAATTACATTTCTTACTGTGGAAACTGCAAGCTGACAACGCTTTGCTATCTTCTTGTAGCCTTCTCCTGCATTGTGGGCATCAATAACTTTCATTTTCAGGGTCTTACACAGCTGCTTAGAGGAACCCATGGTTGCTGGGTGTCCACAAGTGTGTGCACAAGGTTTGAAGAGTCAAGGTATTTGTACAGCTTTGAAATTGGCATTTACCAATGACAGCTGTTGCTGTGCATCAGATCTACCGAGCTGATTAAGGTCTGAAACCTTGTGAGAGACTTTGAGACTCTGGAACTCTTAGGGTGCCCAAACTTTTGCACCATGCCATAATAATGTTTTTATTTTTTATTTTTGTTCAATTTATGGCATAAGAAGTAACTATGCATCACTGTTTGCTGAAAATATTGTGCATTTTTTCCATTTCCAAGAGAAACTGTGTTAACATCTGTTCAAATAAAAAAATCACCAAAATCTGTTATTTATCAAGGGGTGCCTAAACTTTTGCATAAGACTGTATGGTGTTAGCAGTGTCAGTAATTTATCCAGTTTTTATCCATTTAGTTTTTTGTGTATCCATATTTACATCCTGACTTTTACTCCTGACAGATGATGCCTGAAATCAGAGAGAAACTGTTTGGTGCAAACCCTAACCGCAGGTTCACGGATTAGCAGTGGATTTGAAGAGTGCGGTGTAGACATGGATGTAATATTTAAGTTGATGACAGACCATCATTTCAGTGAGCAAGAGTGTAAAATCAACTGCCAGTCATCAGGGTCAAAGGAAAGCTACTATATTTAAGGGAATACTATCAATGCATTCATATGTCCTTTTTATTTTTGTACCAGTGGATTGAGTAATAATTCAACAAGTGCACTTCTGCATATGTATGTTTAAGTGGCTCTCCAGTTGCTGTGTAAAGAACTGCTTTAACATTGCAAATATGTTTTCCTTAAGTTGTTTGAGGTACACTGTTTGCTCCCTACTACTTGACCAAAGGAATCAAAGTTACATGTTTCCCTTCTTCTCCCTTATTCTTTCCACTGTCCCTTTTCTCTTCTCACTCTTCTCCCCAAAACCTCGTTTCTACCTCAGTCATTCAACTTTTTTTTGTTGTTTTTTTTTTTAGTTTGTGTGTGTGGGTGGACAAAGGATGTTTACTAATGTTCTGAAGCGCTCGACTTACAACAAATAAATGTTTGTGACACAGCAAAATCAGCATGTATGAGAGATCTTTATTTACAGCTTGTATACAGTTTACTCAATCTATGTTCACTCTAAAGTGAGGAAAATGTAGTAGCCTAAGTACAAACTAGCCACATCAAAATGTTTTGCATTGAAAATGGTTTTAGTGCTACCTAGTGATCTTCACTTCAGGTATGGCAAAAAGTTGGCAAGACAAGGTGCCATACTCCCTCTGTGGGTGTAAGAAAAACAATCAACCTCCTAAATTCAATACCACCAACTCTACTGAACTTATTTAAGACAGCTTTGATACTTTACTGACTAAACACAATGATAAGACTTTAATTACATTTTCATTTAGATATTGTGCACACATAATATAAACTGACATACTATTATGTGTAAAATCAGTCCTAGGCTTCTGACAGGTTTTATGTCAACTCTTCCAAGCTGTAGAAAAGAGGATGTCAAGGCTATGAGACAGGAAGGACAGGCAGGAGTATATTGTACTCTGATACAAGGATTAAAGCCTTACCATCAGATTAACAAATGTCCATACAGACACTGGCAGGCAGCATCTCCTAATCCAGAAGGAATCCAAGATTACAAATCAGACCTGGCAGATGGAGGAATATGTAACAGGATCGGTAGAGGGAGACTCTTTCATTCGAAGAAAGTCATCAAACTGTCTAAATGACTGGCATTTGAAGTCAAGCCAAATACTCTGTTCAAACTGACATCAGATGTTATACAATGTTAGCAATATTATAATAAAAATGTGTGCACAGTTCTTCATCATGAACAGTCGGATTGGTAGGCATTTTAGTTAGTGGCCTTAAACAACAAACAACCAGACAGAATAATCTCTCCCAGGTGAAAGGAACAGCTCTAGACATAATCCAGCCAGGATGCTGGGCTAATGCAGACAGTATGGGACACGCATCCTCAAATTATTCACACACATACACAGGACCCTGTTTAACCTATAGAAGACAGCATGTAAAAACCTAGAGAAGTATGATTAAAGTGAACAGGTTGGTCCACATATTAGTAAATACAGCTTCTTCATACAGACATATGACAGATTAAAGGAAAAAACAACATACTGTAAAGTGTCTCAGTAAGGTGTTGAGCCACTAGAACAGCTTCAGTGCTCCTTAGCATTGATCCTACAAGTCTCTGAACTTTACTGGAGGGATGAACACCATTCTTCCCAGATATTCCCCCGTGTAGTGTTTTGATGATGGCAGTGGAGACACTGTCTAACATGTCACTCCAAAATCATAGGTGTTCAGCTGGGTTGAGACTTTGTGATTGTGAAGGCCACAGCATATAATTCGCATTGTTTTCATACTCATCAAACCATTCAATGACCCCTTGTGCTCTAGGAATGGATGCACTATCATCCTGGGAGCGGCCACTTATGTATTCAGGTTTTTCCTTAAATTTATCGCCTGTCTGTATCTTAGACCCAGCCCTTCTCCTCTGGTTAGCAGATTGTGGCCTCTCTCTTTATTCACTGCAGATTGAAGCCGCAAGTTATGTGTGTAGAGACAAGACAACCGATGCCACCAATGCCAAGCACTGCTATCCCAGGAAACCCAGCACAGCCTCCCCAACCCCAAGAAAGTAGACACCTTGCGCAATGCCAAAAAGAGGAGCAATGACTAAAGCACGACATGTTGCACCCTTTAGAAATGCTGCTGGGCCCTCCCGCCTCATGATGCGCCTGCAGAAGTGCATAGACAGAACAGAAAGATGAAGAAAGCTGAGAAAAGTTATTGTTACTTGGGCCTTTCCACTTTATTATAATGAAGCAACAAATATTATTTCACTGGCTATAGTCTTACCGTGTGCAGTCAACAATTCCTCTGTATGTGTCCTCCCCCACACCTTTCTGCAAGGTCTGCAGACGAGTCTTTATGACTGTACAGGTATTTAAAACACAGAACACGCTGTCAGTACATGCACTTTGAGATGACTGTGTTCTAGTTAAAGAAAACAGGAGCCACAGTGGCCATAAATGACAACCACAGGAAAAATGGTAATTGCTAACATGTAATGAAATAGCAGCACAAGTACAGAAGTCAAAACTCATTTATAAATGTTACAAATAAAACTGCATCCAAAACTGCTCCCCATTTGCTAAATATTTCACCACATTTATTGTCCACCATTTTACTTGAGTGTCTGAATTCTGGGAAAAGTTTGTAACTCAGCTAAGAGACAAAATGATGACTGTCTTAATTTATCTCCCACTGGTAAGTAAACTATTGAGTGTCTATATAGAAAGAAGTGAATGAAGGAGTGGTTGTGGACAACCTATATCTAAGTTTAGCTTACATTAGCCAACCTCAGTGACCATAAGATATTAGTCATACCCATAATGGTCATACCAGACCAAATGAGTCTGAAGTGAAACCTCTGTATTGAATTTAGAAAGTGTATATTTTTTGCTTAGGATTTCAACTTTCTATTTGTAACAAGGAGATTGTGTTATTTTATTCTTTAAAAGTTACACTGTGGCACTTTAAAATGTATCATTAAATGAATGCCTGATTTGCCTGATATGTACCAAACTGGAATAAAACATGGCAACACTGGGTGGGTGCACACACCTGCAGTCTTTGTGAGTAGAACAAGTTTAGGGGCTTTCTTTCTCTCTTGCACTCACCATCCAGCGGCGTTACAGCCACAGCTGCCACTGAGCCTGCAGCACAGCCTGCCACAAAGGACTGCCAGAATGGCGCCTGGGACTGCACATCAGCCTGGTCACCTTTATTTTCCCGACCCAGCTGATTAAGGTTGGCAAACAGTGGGAAGTAGATCATTGAGAAGGGGACATCCCTGAAAAAAAAAGGTTTTAGAAATGATTAGATTAAATCAGAAGGAAAAGAATGTGAAGCTATGGTACAGGTTGTGACAAGGAGAAAGAATTTATCTTGAGAAGTAGTGAGAAAAACAAGAGGGTGAAGTCACAAGAGAGAAAGAAACATGGCCCCATTCAACTATAACATAACCAGCCAGACATACTAGAGCTGCAAAAATCTACTGATCAGTGCTGACTGGCAGAGGTGTGAGGAAATACAAGAAATGCAGCACGAGTTATGCAATCTAAAATCAGCTCATTTAAGCAGTAATGACAGAGCAGAGTGAAAGGACAGACAGAGTGGAAGAACCAGCAATTGTGCACGGCTGTGTAGTAGATCACTCTCAGCTTGAGAGCAAAGTAAAAAAATGTATAATGTCATAGACTGAGCAACACCAGTGACATGAAGAGAGACAAATATAACCAGAAATAAATTGAGAAGGACCTATTGATAGTGAGACTGAGTGTATGCTTCTCTTCTGATGCTATGTCTCCATATGAACAGTTGTTTTTTTATTTTAGTGTATAATAAGATGTCTCCATATGAACAGTTGTTTTTTTTATTTTAGTGTGAAATAATATACATATACAGACAGGTGACAAATAAAAGGAAAAACCTGAATAAATGAGTGGTCTCTTCCAGGATGATAGTGTCCCCGTCCATAGGTCATGAGCATAGGTGTAGTGCTGACAGAACACACTGGAATGACATTCCACCACGTTTTTTTTTCTCCAAGACAGGAGAAAGAGCAGGCCTATTTGCATAATGTGGTTGAAAATCATAACGTTGCATTACTGTGAGCGCTTGAAGATCCAATCATCAGTAAATTGTATGCCCTGCAAAATGAAATGCTCTAAGATGTGATTTTATATGCTGTAATATTATTCTACTTGTACATTCACATATTTCTATTGTGCAGCAGTTTTATAGATGCCTACAGACCTCAGATTCCAATTTGTGTAATTTTAACATGTTTTTCTTTTTCTTTAGTCTATGTGTCTTAATATGTTCTGCTTTTATTTTTAATATGTTTTGCTGTGGAGCGCTTTGAGCACCCTTGGCATGTTGTAAAGCACTATACAAACATTTACATTAAATTAAGTTAAATTAAATGTGTGACTGAATCACAACAGTGACTCAAACAATATGTACTCCAATGCAGAATCAGCACACATGAGTGTGTATGTGTTTTGTCCAATCGCATAACATGGATGGTTCACAGCAAGATAGTTAAGTGTTGAATACACTTTTTTTTTTTTTTACAAAAGACAAGTGACATAACTAAACTTAGATCATCCGGACTGACAAACTAGAGTGTAATTTCTAGGAGGGGCCGTGGAGACAAACATCAGATGCAACGATTAGCAGCAGAAGCAGACTTTATATGTATATTAAATGATGCCAGGATTTAAACTGTGTTTTACCTATGCACCTGTGAGTGATTGGCTGTAGGCCTCTATGGCTAAACAGAATGGTTTGATGAGTATGAAAATAATGTGAATCATATGCTGTGACCTTCACAGTCACCAGATCTCAACCCAATTGAACACCTGGGAGATGCTGCAGCAATGTGCTAGACAGTATCTCCACCACCATCAACAAAACAACATGAGGGAATATCTTTTCAAAGAATGGTGTTCATCCCTCCAGTAGAGTTCAGAGACTTGTAGACTTTGCCAAGGAGCCCTGAAGCTGTTCTGGTGGCACATGGTGGCCCAACACCTTAGTGAGACACTTAATGAGCTAATGTTGGTTTTTTCTTTAATTTGTCAACTGTCTAGATCAAAAGTAAAAAAAAAAAGGCCAGTAAAATAAACTGGCACATATTGTGATTATGTGTGTGAATGTATGTTAATATCTTTATGTGTGTGACCTCATTAAGGTGGCCCCTGCCCCCTTGTAGAGGCCCGCCAAGCCACGAGTCTTCAGCAGTTGCACAGTGATGCCAATGGCTGAGGGCCGTTGCGGAGGCTTTGGCCAAGCTTGTGGTGATGAGCCCACCATTGATGGTGCTGGACCAGGAGAAGCAGCCTGAGCTGGAGTTTGTACAGACCTTTGTGCAGCTAATGGATAAACACAGGTTGGCCCGGGTTAGAAAACACATGCAGACTGATGTAACCCTGCAGCCATTACTGTGTGTGTGCTTCATTGCTGAACAAAGGAAGGCCTGTCATTTAGTTTCTGATTTATTATGAAACATTTACATTACAATTTACTAAATGGAAGCTGTGGCAAAAGATTCATAAACTTTCATAAACAATGGGTGAATACTCACACTGGGTCTAACTTATGGAGAAACATACAGTATTATACCAAATCATAGGCTGGGGGACGTTGCATCGCATGATGTGACACATGTCACACACTGCAAGTATGTGTTGTCCTTAAGTGTAAATACATGATTTAAAAAGTACAATTTTATTCACTTCATGAATTAGATTTTACAAGACTTCAGTGTATTGTATCATTTTGAACCTATGTAAATACTGACAAAATGCACCTTGATGACAGTGTAAATTAATGTAACAGTGTTAAATCCAGTCACCAACTTACCGAGCCTTCCTGCATCCTGCAGCTGAATCTTAAGCATCTCCATGGGTGTAGTGACTACCACCTGACACGTCCCAGCCCCACAACCTGCCAGTACCTCTCCCCACAGGGGCAAATGCCTATGGATACAGTGTCACTAACAGCATTAAACAAATGCCTGCTTTACTAATAAGAGGCCATATGTCTTTGTCAGAATTCTGGGAGTTGTAGTTGTTTATCTGTCAGATTGTGCCTAATCATGGCAAAATATTTCTTACCGTCAACTTATTCAAGTTAATGTTTATTTTCTTTTGACAAAAGCAATGAGTCAGTTCATTTAACAAATAGTTGTTATAGTTCAATGTTTGCTTAGTTTCTCCTTAAAATAATAAGACTAAACTAATAGTGATATTTTTTAAGGTACTGTAAAAGTACAATGAACAAAACTTTAGAATTTGTCTTTTATGACACAACAACCATGGAATTTTTTTTAAGACTTGATAAAGCCCTTTATGAATAGATTAAAATCAAGGACCGTGACGTCGCCTGGCATGCCGCAGCCGGGGCCCCACCCTGGAGCCAGGCCCGGGGTTGGGGCTCGAATGCGAGCGCCTGGTGGCCGGGCCTCCCCTCACGG